TTTTTTTTTTTTTTTGCTTTTACTCGAACCGAATGAAGGTTTAAAGTGGAAATCCTCATTTTCAAATAGACGAACATAAAAAGGTATTTTAAATAAATGATTAATTTTTTTTCAGTGCAGGTACAGTCTTAAAAATAAAGGTTCCAAAAAGGGTTTTCACCACAGTGCAATAAAATAACTATTTTGTGTCATTGAAGACCTTTTTTTTCATAGCGTGAAGATCATTTTAAAATTCGAAAGAACATTTTTCTCCTATAAAGAACCTTCTGTGCATTTAAAACAGTTCCATAAATTTTAAAGGTTCTTTATGCTACCACTGATGCCAATATGGAACCTTTATTTTTAAGAGTGTAGGCTAATACAGACCGCCTTGACACAGATGCACATTTAAAAAGTCATGCAGTCATAGGAAAATGTTTATTATTTGAGCACTAATTCTCATGTTGTTTACTGTTTAGGATGGGTATTATGTGTCCTCCTTCAGTGCTCTGTTCTCTATGTTCTCTTCATTGGAGGTATATAATTGTCACTGAATGGGTCATGGATTTTCGAACCTAGAAGTTGTGGGGTGTGTCCATGCCATGGGAGAGTGTTGTGGGGGCTGGGTTCAGGCGGCCCTGCACACATGTGCTGTCACTCAACCACCCTGCACAGGCAACCCAGACTAAGAGACGAGGAATAAGAGCTTCTAGTAGCCTGGAGACGCCTGTGTCCCTGCCTCATTGCAAATTTAGCTTGGACACTGTTGTTCAAGTCTCCAGTGTTGTATCATTTGGCAGTGATTCATTGTGAACAGTAAGGATCAAAAGCCAGATGATGAAGGCTGTGGCGGTCCTGGGTGCACTGCTGGCTGTTGTGTGTCAGGTGAGTTGAGCTTTACATATTAAGTGTATTCTGTGTATTTAAACTTCAGGCTCAGTAAACTGTAAGTTTCACTGTAAAATATCTCAATGTTAATATAATATTAAAATACATGATAGAATCAAGCAATAAGCCCTGTGAGGTTACTATTCAAGAACTATTTTTCACACTGTAAAAAAAAA